TTAATTATTAATCTTTATTAATGAATCATTAATGTTTATATCTAAAATAACCTCTTTAGTGTCTTTGTTTATTTTTGGTTTGTGTTTTATGCTTTTTGGTGGCTGTGGGGGGGGGGGGGGGGGGGGGGGATTACAGGGAGAGAGAGAGAGAGAGAGAGAGAGAGAGAGAGAGAGAGCGCTCTCTCAGTGTCTCTCTCCCACCGTGAGAGAAAGATGCAGCACTTTGTCTCCGCAGGAACTTTCCCACATTAAACACTTGGACCATAAAAGGACACAGAGACCAGTGACCCGCTTCTGAACCGGTACTTTACCCCGAGGAGGAGCCCCACCGGCCCGGACAGACCGGACCGAGCCGAGCCTCCACCTGCTGCTTCTCCGCGCGCCTCCTGCGCACACCGAGCCGGCACGCGCGCGGCTTATCTAATCAGAGACCACGTCGATAACTTTCACTTTCCGGTCGGATGTAAATGCTGCGGGTCGCTCGCAGCGGGTCCAGTTAGACATCAGCGGTCCTCTTCAGCCCGCCTCACCATGAGTCTCTGGACTAACGGCTCCTCCGCGGACCTGCCGGGCTCCAACTCCTCCAACGGCTCCCAGCACCGCGGGGCCCCCGGCGCCTCCCCGCTGGACCTGAGCCGGGCCGTGCCGGTGGGCATGGTGCTGGCCTCCTTCATCATGTTCGCCATCGTGGGGAACATCCTGGTCATCCTGTCCGTGGTGTGTAACCGCCACCTGCGGATCCCCACCAACTACTTCATCATCAACCTGGCCATCGCGGACCTGCTGCTGGGGACCACCGTGCTGCCGGTGTCCGCCACGCTGGAGGTCAGTGTCCGATCGACCAGCGATCAGTGAGCGGTCATTTAATGAACACAGAGCACAAAGCCAAGTGCTGCAGCGATGCTTTGTTGATGCATTTTGTTCCTCAACTTTGGATAAAAGCCTGAAGGAAAGAAAAGAGAAATAAAAGATGAAGAAGCAGACATGAAATCATTAATCAGTTAATTATCATTTATCAAGAAAAATGCCCGATAGATTTGTGTTCTTTTTAATATAACTGCATTTCAGTGAGACAACAGGCTGATGGTAATAATAGTAACATGTATGATAATAAACACTGTAGATCTATGAGGCTATAAAGACAGACACAATAGTTGGCGATGGAGCAGTGGATAAGACACATGCGTTTGGTGTGACAGACTCGGGTTCAATTCCCACTGCGACACGTCCACCAATGTGTCCCTGACGAAGACACTTAACAATTAGCAATTGTTAAGTGTCTTTGGATAAAAAAAACATCAGCTAAATGAATAAAAAAAAAGTACATGAATTAAAGACAAGAAAAAAACGTTGTGACCTGAGAAGAAAAGTAACTACAGGAAGAAGTAAGGATATAATTTGAAATAGAGAGATGTTGTTGATTAAATCCTTTAACAGAATAAAAGTCTGCATGATGGAAACTCTTAAATAATAATGACCTAACTGTCTTTTACAGATTAACTTGTCACAGTTTCTTAATCTCAAAGTTTAAAGTATCAAAGCTTATCTGACAGGATGTGATTACCTAAATATCACAGAGCGTTAGAGGTGAGACACGGTTAGATGACTTCCCATGATCCTCAGAGTGTGTTGGCAGCAAACTGCAGCCTAACATCAAACACAGCGACGGCAGCAGACTCACGCTCCGGGGTCAGGATCTCATCAGATCCTGACCTGCATGTTTCACAGTTAGACTAACTTTAGCACACGGAGCACAGTGACGGCACAGTTCCACTCTAACAGGCCTCCTGCACCGCCCGCCCGCCGGCACCCGGCCCGCCCACCGGCACGCCGCCTCAGCAGGAACCGTACAGGTGTTTGTTCTGGGACAGGAGGTGACTGAAGTCTGTGCAGAGGTGGACTCATCAAGACTTCTCAGGTCCTGAAACCCAGTCACTGTTGAATTATTTAGTTTTAAGTTAAATAACGTTACTGACTAATGTTATTTTAACCCAAACCACGAAACTGTGACCGTTTCTACCACCTGACCTCCGTAACGTCCTCACGGTCCGGACGCCTGTCTCTGGACTGGCACTGTCCAACGGTCAGAAACTGTATGCGTCACTTCGGCAGGCGCTGACACACGTGTGTGATCGTCCTCTCTGTCGGTCAGCTCGCTCTCCCTGAACTTTACAAGCCGCCAGCCGGCCCGTCACGCCGCCTCTGACCGGCTGGAGCTCCCTGTGGCTCAGAAGGCCGGACCGTCGAGCTGTTTCTCTGAAAACCACGTGAAGGTTTCTGGTATACAGCACATCTGCGTTAACCGCAGGGTTGTGGGTTTGATCCCCGGCTGTCCACATGTTAAAGGAGCAACACACTGACCCCCAGCAGCTGGCCGCTCGCCGCCATCAGCGTGTTCAGGGAGGAAACGATGACTCGGTTCAGGCTAATCATCGGAAAACAATCCTGACGCGTCTCTTTGGAAATGATCAAACACAAATTTCACAACAAAATCTCTAAATTCTGATGGAACAGTACGCAAACGTTTCCCATCGAGCTCAGCTTTGGTGAACTTTGAACTCAGAATCCATCTTGACAGAGCTGTGCTCTGATTGGACAGAGAGTCCAGCATGGAGGAAGCGGTGTGTCCAATTTGACTGCAGCTCTCCTGCGAGCGGATGCCTGTAACGTCCTGTTAGACCTGGTCACTGGATCAGGGCCAGTTCTCCTGGACACAGGTGATGTCGCTGCCATGTGTGCAGGGAACTGCGTCTCTAATCAAAAAGTGAAGTGAGCACGTGCAGGACAAGAGGCAGCAGAGCGGCTCATCAGTGAGCGTTGAAATGATTCCCTCCAAAGAGCGACAGGAACACAGAGTCTGAAGCTCAGGACCGTCACAGCGTCCTCCCTCACAGTCTAATTACTCACCTGCTGATCTACAGTCAGCGGGGTACAGAGCATGGAAACACCTTCTCTGTCTCTCAGGGCTGCAGACTTTATGATTTAGTTTGGAGTGAGTGTCTCTGAGGTGCATTTTATGTGACAGGGTTCAGAGGTCATCACTCCTCAGTCACCAGGAAAGTTCAACCTCCAGACATCACGGCCTAAATCAGCACACCAAACCTGCTATCTGGGAACGGCCCCCCAGAAACTGTTTTCCTGCTTTCTAGTTCATCTGTGGTGTCATTTTCCTGTTGAAATGGTTTTTCTCCTATATTTAAGGTGACACAACTTCAGCGGGGGTCTCGCCTCCTCCCCCAGAAACACTGGAGCATTAAACACTTAACTTCCTGCATTCTGGTGAACATTTCTGCCGTCACTGCAACAACTGATGGTGGAAGTGTTTTTATTTATAAAACTCCTGTTTCTCAGTCTGCGTTCTTTTCTGGACTTGTGTATTTGTGAAACATCACCAGTCGCAGCCCGAGTACTTTTCCAACTGACCCTTCGCTAAGCCACGCCCCGAACACGCAGCTGGCCAATCACAGCGCAGTATAGGACTCGCTCTAACTGAGGTCCGACACTTTCATAGCTGAGCTCCAGTGACTCTAATGCAGAGTCGTTTTCTAGCTTTTTCTGGCTGGATCTTTCTAAGATCTGGTCAAACGCTGTTCCTGGAGCATCTTGTAATAATTACAGCAGCTACCCAGAGAGGCTGAAAGGAGAATGAAGATTTATTCTCTTTCCAAAACCTAAAATAATCTGAGTCCGTCTGAGTCATTTTGAGTCTGTCTGAGTCCGTTTGAGCCCATCTGAGTCTGTTTGAGTCCATCTGAGTCTGTTTGAGTCAGTCTGAGTCCGTCTGACTCCGTTTGAGTCCATCTGAGTCCATCTGAGTCCGTTTGAGTCCATCTGAGTCAGTTTGAGTCCATCTGAGTCCGTTTGAGTCCATCTGAGTCTGTTTGAGTCAGTCTGAGTCCGTCTGACTCCGTTTGAGTCCATCTCCGTCCGTTTGAGTCCGTTTGAGTCCATCTGAGTCAGTTTGAGTCCATCTGAGTCCGTTTGAGTCCATCTGAGTCTGTTTGAGTCAGTCTGAGTCTGTCTGACTCCGTTTGAGTCCATCTGAGTCCATCTGAGTCAGTTTGAGTCCATCTGAGTCAGTTTGAGTCCATCTGAGTCCGTTTAAGTCATTTTGAATCCGTTTGAGTCCGTTTGAGTCCATCTGAGTCTGTCTGAGTCCATCTGAGTCAGTTTGAGTCCATCTGAGTCCGTTTGAGTCCATCTGAGTCTGTTTGAGTCCGTTTGAATCCATCTGAGTCCGTTTGAGTCCATCTGAGTCTGTCTGAGTCCATCTGAGTCAGTTTGAGTCCATCTGAGTCCGTTTGAGTCCATCTGAGTCTGTTTGAGTCCGTTTGAATCCATCTGAGTCCGTTTGAGTCCATCTGAGTCTGTCTGAGTCCATCTGAGTCAGTTTGAGTCTGACAGCCTGAACACAACCTTTAAATGCACAATGCAACTGCAAAACTGTCTGCTTCTTTCTGAGATCGCTTTTTCCAACATATATAGACAATATTTCTGCAGTAAAAGACAGTGGCAGCGCCGACAGTTTGTCGGACTTAGCAACAGTAACAAAGGGGGGCGGGGCTTAGCGAAGGGTCAATTCAAAGGTTCGCAACTATCCAACCCCTGAAATGTGAGGAAGATGTCTGCTCTGAAGAGCCTCTGTACTGAACAGGAAGTGGACTCATGTACTTCCTGTCCCCGCAGGTTTTGGATTACTGGGTCTTTGGTCGGATCTTCTGTGACATCTGGGCGGCGGTGGACGTCCTGTGCTGCACGGCGTCCATCATGTCTCTTTGCGTCATCTCCATCGACCGATATATTGGCGTCCGCTACCCGCTGCAGTACCCGATGATCGTCACCGAGAGGCGGGCGTTGCTCGCCATGCTGGGCGTCTGGATCCTCGCCATCGTTATCTCCATCGGCCCGCTGCTGGGCTGGAAGCAGCCGCCATCACAGGTACTGAAACTACCCATCATGCACCACTGAGCCAGAACACATGAATCTATAAAAAGATTCAGATTTCGTCATGGAGGCTCCGAGTGAGGCCTCCAGCTGGACCTCCAGTCCAGAACACATCAGTTACCCTGCTTTCCAACAGACTTTATAGATTAGAAGCCTGCTTTATAGTCATTGTTTCACAAGTCTTAAGTCAAGTCTCCAGTCGTAGCACTCAAGTTCGAGTCAAGTCTCAAGTCCTAAACTTTGAGTTTTGAGTCCTTAACAAGTCATAATGTGCTCCTAACCAAATGTAACACCATTTCAGATTTTTAACAAGAGTTAAAAATGAAAAGGACTTTATTGAAAACGTTAACAGAAAAAAGGCAGAGGCGCAATTTCACACCTTTCTTTAAAGCCCCTGACATACTTGCTTTTTAACAATGAATCCACTAGGGGGCTGACCAGGACTGGATCATCCCTCGCCGACACCGAATTGTTTTCCTTCACTACCTCTGAATTTGCACATCATAAACAAACCAAACACAGCGAAGCTCAAGGAGGTTATGATTTTAATGAGACATCATAACGATCTTGGTAATTGCAGACTAGCTCCTGGAGTTTTATTGTAAACATCCCGCCATAAATCTCCTTTTTTAAAGTCTGCTGCTGACCTTCTTCTTCTTCTTCTTATGGGTTTAATGGCGGTTGGCAAACCAACTGCATACCGCCACCACCTGGGTGGTGTGTGAACAGCAGTTTGCTGCTGACTTGCCGAGTCGTATGTAGCTGCAGTACCGGAGGCTGCAGTTTCAGGACCGCGATCCTAGGACGGGAACTGCATTTCTAGGACCCTTGTTTACTTTGATACTGCCAGCTAGCTGACTGGCTGTTACTCTTGACAGCCCCCTGAAGCCAATTACCGTCACCACAACCATCACAGAGTGTGTGCCTAAACCTTAGTTATTGATTATATGCATGTCGACTGGTTAACCCAACCCGATCTCACGCTCAGGCGTCACATATTCACGCTTTGAAAAAAACGTGGCTGCGTGTATATGTGACGCCTGAGCGTGACAAAAGGCTGGGTTAACCCTACAGCTGCTAGCAGACAGGGTTAACCTCCTTCGTGTTCCCAACTCACTAGATGCCACTATAGCAAAAGAATTATGCACCTAGAACTGCAGTCCCAGGATTGCGGGGGTCCTGAAACTGCAGCCTCCGGTACTGCAGCTAGATAATACCTGCCGGTCAGATCGTCATGCTGCCCCCACGTTCATGTGCTGAATTGCGTCTCGCGGACGTGTAACGTTAATTTCTGGAGATGTGCACAACCTACGCTCTAAAGGAACGCAGGATACGCGTGGCAGCCATCTTGCCTACGCGACACGTAGTTAAAAGCAAGTATATCTGGGACCAGATGATCTCATTGAGATTTAAAACCTCTTTTTTAAGAGAGACCTGGTCAAAACAGCAGCATACTGACAGAGCAGAGTTACAGATAAGAACACATGTAATAACCAAAGGACATTCAACAAAGACTCAATACACAAAGTAGCAGTACCATTTTAAGTTAACCACTTAAAAGCACAATTTGTTCAATTTTAAAAGCAGTGACAAAATAATAGCATCTAGTGACCCCAGATGTTTCAGCTTCAGTCTGCAGTGTATTCAGGTGGAGGGAGCAGGGCAGCTAAAGGCCCTCTTACCGAGCTCTGTACTGAGGTACAGATATTACATATATCACCATTTCTATTTGGGCTTGGAGAGGATATTTAAAATAACAGAGTCATAGATGAAGAGGTTGTTCGAGGTGTTTCCAAATATGATCCCAGTAAAATATGTTTGTTGAGATCATAGAATCAATTAAACCGTCAGTCTCATCAGTGAATCATCAGATTTAAGCTGGACAGTTTACTGAAAGAGATCAATCAGTCGATCAGCAGAAGCTCCAGCTGCTGTGATGAAATCACTGCTTGCAGGTGAAGAACGAGTTTTCAGTCTTTATTGATTTTTAAACCCCTCACAGAAGCCAGCTGTAGATTTTCTTTGCTGCACATTAAAAACCTTCTCGTCTTCAGAAGTTTGTGTGCTAGAGTTGAAAGCTCTGCTGAAGGGAGGTCAGGATCTGTGTGTTGGTGTCAGTTGTTGAGATAAATATGTCAGACTAACCTCTCGCCGCCCTGCAGGACGACACCGTGTGTCTCATCACGGAGGAACCGTTCTACGCCCTCTTCTCGTCGCTCGGCTCCTTCTACATCCCGCTGGCCGTCATCCTCGCCATGTACTGCCGCGTCTACATTGTGGCCAAGCGCACCACCAAGAACCTGGAGGCCGGCATGATGAAGGAGCGCCAGGAGGACTCCAACGAGCTCACCCTGAGGATCCACTGCAGGAACCACCAGATCCAGGAGCTGTGCCCCGCCTCCAAGGCCGGAGGGGGCGGGGCCTCAGCCGCACGCAGCACGCTCACCGTCAAACTGCTCAAGTTCTCCAGAGAGAAGAAGGCCGCCAAGACGCTGGGCGTGGTGGTGGGCATGTTCATCCTCTGCTGGCTGCCTTTCTTCCTGGCTCTGCCCATCGGTACGTACACATCCAATCAAAACTAACCATCTTTTCAATTATTGATCTGTCTCCGGCTTTCTCAGTGAATCTTTTGGCCCATTAACCCGTCGTGAGGCTTTCAAACCCTGGCCCTGCTCCTCTGTCATGGCGGCGTGTAACCTCCTGTCCTATTCTGGCAGTTTTCATTTGAACAGTCCCGGTTATTTGAAGCTGATGAGAGACGCTGTTGTCCTCCAGTCCAGCGACAGGCAACGCAAGTCACGTGACATTTAACACGTGGTTAACGTGAAACGGTCGCAGAGCTACAGTGCTGGGCTGGTTTGTCCTCACGTGGACATAAAAATAAAACGACATCAGAAGATGACGTGTTTAAAGGTGATGTTTAGTTTACTATCAGAGAAAGCAGAAGCTGATTGGTTTCTGTAAACAATGAATCTCTTATCACCAGCTGATGATTTTCTGTCTTTGACGAATCGATCAATCGATTATTAGTTTCAGCTGTGTCGCTGTTAGCTTACCGCAGATGTAGCGTAAGTCATGTGAGCGGCTGGACTATTTAAAGACGGCACAGCGCTGCCGTCTTCGTCTTCTCACATCTCCATCAGTAGGTTCTTCTCTCTCAGCGCCAGAACAAAGTACGTTTAAACCAGACGCCGGAACGACCTCCTCCACCACCCAGTGTGACGGAGCTGTCAGCAGCCAATCAAGAGAGAGGATTTAAAGTCATTAGATGATGAGAAAGGAGGTTCAGTTATCTTGAATGAAAACTGTGGATCTAAATCCACAACAACTCTGAACACACACCTGCAGGGCGTTCTGCTGGTTTCTTTGGGGGTTTAGCTCCTCTTGAATAAAAACTGTTGCAGCCTGAGTATAAAGCTCACTGATATTTCAGCCTCTAAACTGAGCAATGGAGAGCTGTAGAAACTTTGAACAGTCACAAATCACAGATATATCAAACAAAAGCCCCGACACTCGGATCGCTTCGCTGGATTACATCACACCGGACACGCCAAATACCTCGGCAACCGCCACCGCAGCCCTCAGACCAGAACAAACCCGAAAGGAAAAGACAGACTCGACTTTCTTCTGCAGTATAAACAAGTACCATACCGTCACCATGGCAACCACCCCTTTCTCTTACAGTCCCACACAGCAACACATCCTCTCAGGTCTGTGAGGAAAAACAAAGATCCTGTCAGTCATTATATTGAGAAACTTTCTCAATATGAGTTACAATTTCAAAATTATTGATTAGAATTTCAAAAAAGTTCAAATTCATGATGATAACAACAATAAAACGTGAGGCTCGTGCAGCCGTTAGAGGAGATTAAAGTGTGTCTTTGAGTATTTATATAAATGAACCACACGACAAATTCAGAGTCCCCGCCTCCCGAACAAGTAGAGACGCACACAGCAGCCTTCTGTCAGCTGTCCTAAATAAATCCACACTTTATTATGAATCCGTCTGATCCCACAGAGCCTCCCTCAGCTCCAGGTCCTGTTGTTTCAGGTCTAACTCTGTTTGCTGCTCTACGTTGGTGTTCCTGGACTTCAGGTGTCCTCTCTGAGACCGGGCGCCTCCTGTTGTGTCCAGCGAGGTCAGATGTTATTTCTGATCGCAGCGTTTACTGTACTGTGTATTATAATATCTGCAGTGATTCATCCCAAACTAATCTGATCCTCAATCATTTAGGTCCCTTTTTTAGGGAAACTGTTCAACCTGTTCTCACACATGGTTTGTAACGCACTGGTTGAACCCTGTAGAGTCATTTTTGAACGCTTAAAGCAGCTGTAGGATATAAATAAAAAATTGAGAGTCTAACCAGACGATGCATTTTTATTCTTACTACCTCGCCCACGGAGCCGTGCGCGTCCAACAGGGTCTTGAATCAAGTGTCCATATGTGACAAGTTGTGATGAGAATGTGTTGAACTGGACAGAAACTCTGTTTTTATATCTTTCTAAAGTGAATATATTTGGGTTTCAGACAGAACAAGACATTTGAAGAGCTGGGCTTTGGGAAGTTGTGATGCACATTTGTAACTTTCCGTCTGACTCGTCATCGACTAAACAATAAATCCATTAATTAGAAAAAAATGAATCGATGATACAAATAATTATTAGTTGCCCGAAACATGAGACTGGATGAGGAGAGAAGCTTTCACTGCTGATCCACATGATAATAAAATGGCCCTTTGGATTAAAGGCCGGCTGTCTGCTCTGTGAGGAGCTCGGCTGGAAATAAAAACAAAATGGTGAAATATGTTTTAAACAGGTTCAAAGCGCAGCAGATAGTTCCAGTGCCTTCGGTCTAACAAACAGTTTGTCTTCATGTCGGTGAAGCGTCCCCAGAACGAGGTCAAAGTGTGGCTGGTGGTGAGAAACTGTTTTCTTCATGTTTGAAATATTTGGCCGAATGCTTCAGGTCCTGCATCAGCGTCCAATCAGCAGTCTCCAGGACAAACTCCAGAAATCTCAGCGCCCACAGTGACAGAGAGGAAGTTCAGCACACTTGTTATTTCTTTATTTTCTGGGATGGATTTCCCACAACAGAGACGGCGAGTGACGCCAGACATTCCCTCTGGCTGATCTCACAGATTAGAGCTGAGCCCGCTCGGATTAGAGGAGTTGGACGAGAAGCTGTTTATGTTGGTAAATACTGAGCGGATTGTGTCAAAGCCAATGAATCCCACAAAGGCTGCTCTGAGGCCGCTGCTCCTTTAGAGGCCCCAAACAGGGACAAACATCCAGCTTCTCCGGTCTCAGGGTGACGGTTTCTCACAAACTCTGGGCGTACAGGCGTGTCGGTCATGTGACGACGCAACCTGAACCTAAACTGCTCAGAACTACGGAAGCCCATTTCTGCCACTGTGATTAAGAGAAAATATCCTGTAAGTCAGTATAATGAGAAACACTCTCAAAATAATAAGATATTTTGAGATATTAAGTCATTATTTTGATACTAACTCATTTTTATTAAAAATTCTAACTTCATTATTTTGAAATTCTAAATCTTTTTTTTTTTTTTGACTCATTATTTTGAAAGTCTAATTCATTATTTTGAGATTCAAAGTAATTATTTTGAAATTCTATGTCTTTATTTTACACAAACTAATTATTTTCAAGTCATTATTTTTAAATTTTAACCAAGTTTTTGAAATTGTAACTCATTCATTTGTTTCTCAATATAATGACTGACAGGATCTTTGTTTTTCATCACAGTGGTGACTTCCATACAATCCTGAGAGGATGTGTGGGACTGTAAGAGAAAGGGGTGGTTGCCATGGTGACGGGATGGTACTGGCCGAGGTATTTGGCGTGTCGGATGTGATGTAATCCAGCGAAGCGATCCGAGTGTCGGGGCTTTTGTTTGATATATCTGTGATTTGTGACTGTTTGTTCAAAGTTTCTACAGCTCTCCATTGCTCAGTTTAGAGGCTGAAATATCAGTGAGCTTTATACTCAGGCTGCAACAGTTTTCATTCAAGAGGAGCTAAACCCCCAAAGAAACCAGCAGAACGCCCTGCAGGTGTGTGTTCAGAGTTGTTGTGGATTTAGATCCAAATCAGCTCTAAACATTTGAATTCTACACATTATTACGTACATAAGCACAGCGTCTGCCCTCTCCTGGTGAAAACTCAGCTACTGCAATTAAAATTTGCTTTTGGCAGAGTTTCGTCACCAAACTGTCCCAAAAAAAAATCCAATATTCGTCCTGAAAGCACGGATCTGCAGAACTAAAGTCAGGAACCAAACCCAAGAGTTTGTGTTTGTTTCCCCGACATCTGAGGGTTAGAAGAACAAGAAGAAGGAAAGCGTGAGACGCTAGAAACTAGAACAAAGTCCAGGTCCAGATGAGCTTTTCTTGCTGTAGTCGGCCGTTCAGCTTCTCTCTGTAACTGTCAGTTACAGTGAGTTCTCCTGCAGAAAATTCGGCCTCAGGAACTAATCTCGCTGCCTGCCGTCAGACTGATTTCCTAAAAAGGTTCCTGGAAAAGTTTCTGCGGTTGAGATCTTGAGATCAGCTCTAACCCTTCAACAGGAGCCAGAATAACAGTGGCTTAAGTGTCAGATACAGCAGAGAGTTAGCTGGTGCCAGGTGTGTCTGAATGAAGAGATACCCACAATCCCTCTGGTTACAGGAGGCCTTTGTACTGCAGCAGGTTTCATAAGAGAAAGAATAAACTGGTTTAATGTTAGCCGTGAGCGGCCTGATCCCTTGATGCTGGAGAAACAGTCCTGTGATCAGAGGACTTAACACGCTGACTCTCTTCAGACTCTCACCGGGGTCGAGGCAGGAAGTCAGTGTGGCAGCTCTCTGGTCCTGAACCGAGGAGGAAAACAAACCCTCCTAAATCTGACCTGCAGAAACCAGAGCTGATGACGGACATCTGGTGGCTGATGCCCTCTTTCCTCAGGAACAATCCACTATTCAATTCAATTCAGCTTCACTGGCATTAATGTCAAACAACAATGTTGCCAAAGCTACAAATAAATTACAAAAGAACAATTCATTTAATGCATTAAATAAAAGTGTGTGTTTGTGTGGGTTAAAAAATAAAATAATAATGTTAATCATAAAATATATCAAATATAAAAATAAAGTAAAAATAAAGTAAATAAAACAGTAAACATGTGTTTGTTTATATTAATAGACAACAAATAAATAAACAACTAAAAATCAGTATGAAATGTGAAATTTAAATAAACAAAAAGAAATAAGGGAACAATTACTAAAATAAATGAAAATAATAATAATTTGAAAAATTTAACGTACAATAATTTAATATATTTATCAGTCTAGTCTACCACTATTAGCGTGTTGTATTTCATTTCTGTCACAGAATAACGGTTGCCCTCCTGTGTTCAGGAAACTGATTGCAGCCACTTTCAGATGTCTGGACGTTTCAGATTATCTTTGGTTTTAATTTGCATATTGTTTCCTTCCATGCAAATGCAGACTGATAAATATTATGAGAGTTAAGCTCCACAATGGATTCAGCATCAGGTATCAG